AAGATTCCACCAAAAGTTTGGACTTGTTCCACTGGAAACAAAAACAAACAAACAAGGTGGCCAAAGTTTTGATGCAATCTCCAAATAATAACTATTTCATTACTTATATAGGTCAAATGTTACTGCAAATAAGGTGCAATAACACACACACACACACTAGGGGTTGAACGACTTCTGATTTTTTGAAGTCGACTTTTATGTGATGAAAGTCGAGTCGAAGTCGTCTAGCCGCTGATGACGTCATTAATGAACAAATAAGTCTGGAGCTGTGACTCTCTCACACACACTCACTCACTCACACTCTCACACACTCTCACTCACACACTCTCACTCACACACACACACACTCTCACTCACTCACTCACTCACTCTTTCTCTCTCTCTCTCTCTCTCTCTCTCGATGTGAAGATCACTGTAGGAACACATGTGTGCGTGATTTGAGTTTGATGGTTAGTTTTCTCGTATGTTTGACAGATATTGAAGATCTGCCTCCTGCCGTTCAGGAGAAGCTCTTTGATGAAATCCTCGACCGCGATGTTCAGAAGGGTGAGACGTGAGCCGCTAGTGCATTACAGCAGCACATGTGTGTCTGTGTGCTGACCGTGTGTGTGTGTGTGTCTGTGTGTTGACCGCGTGTGTGTGTGTGTGCAGAACTGGAGGAGGAGTCTGCAGTCATTAACTGGTCTCTGGAGCTGGGCACACGTCTGGACAGCCGTCTGTACGCTCTGTGGAACCGCACCGCTGGAGACTGTCTGCTGGACTCCGTTCTACAGGCCACATGGGGCATCTATGATAAAGACTCTGTGCTGAGAAAAGCTCTCCATGACTGTTTACACGACTGCTCTCACTGGTGAGACACACACATGCAGGATCTGATAGTGAAGTGTGTGAAGTGTCTTCATGTGCACAACATGGACAGATTCTCTTGCTGTATAATTTTTGGATCCATATTTGTGTGTGTGTGTGTGTGTGTGTGCGCAGGTTCTACTCACGCTGGAAGGAGTGGGAATCGTGGTATTCTCAGAGTTTTGGGCTTCATTTCTCTCTGAGAGAAGAACAGTGGCAGGAGGACTGGGCCTTCATCCTCAACCTCGCCAGTCAGGTACACACACACACACACAGTCGAGCTCCTGGAGGCGTGCTGTGGGCGGAGTTAAAGAGTCACAAGCACACCTGTTCGACTTGAAGCGGTACTGCACAGATCCATCAGTGTTTGACATCAAAGTACCGCTCTGCATGCTTTGAATCACTCTCGCGGTACTTTGATGTCAAACACCGATCGATGTCAAACACACCTTTTGTGTAGCGATCGCCTGCAAGCTGTGACATCGGCATGAATAAAACAGGAACAAAAACTTTATTGACTTAAATTTTATTCAATTTGTTTATAAAACATTCATCACCGAAATGCCGGGAACAAACAAACATGGCCATGTTTAGCATGAGAATCCAATATAACAGTGTAAATAATCAGAATGCATGAAACCGCATTAGACCCCCCCCTTTGTTTTTTATTTTTTAATTTCTTTATGCAGAATTTAAGCTTCTTTTATGTATGAGTCCATTTTTCTTTCAAGCAGCTCGTTTTTTTTCTTTTAGTTTTTGGGTGAAATATGACCTGCTCATGTTCTGTGAGACTTGTTCTATTTTGATGTGATTCATTGAGGTTTCACTCTGATCTTAACTGGAAACAGAATTGTGTTTTGAATAGGAATGAAACACACACTACACTGGCTGTTATTATAGTAATTAATCAGTTCTTAAATCCTGTAATCGATGCTTTGAATGTTCTTGAATCACGCTGAATCAGGTCAATCTTCCTGTTTTCTTTCACTGCAGCCCGGGGCGAGTTTGGAGCAGACTCATATATTTGTTCTTGCTCATATCCTGCGGCGGCCCATCATCGTTTACGGAGTGAAGTATTACAAGAGTTTTCGTGGGGAAACTTTAGGCTACACTCGATTTCAAGGTGAGGCGATCACAAGAGCTCTTTATTGTCACATGGACAGCAGGAGTGTGGCTCACCTGTGTGTGTGTGTGTGTGTGTGCAGGTGTTTACCTGCCGTTGCTATGGGAACAGAGCTTCTGCTGGAAAAGTCCCATCGCTCTCGGTTACACGAGAGGTCACTTCTCTGCTCTGGTTGGCATGGAAACCGACGGCTACGATAATCGCGGCGCAGGCGCCAACCTCAACACTGACGATGACATCACCGTGACCTTCCTGCCGCTGGTGGACAGTGAGAGGAAGCTACTGCAGATCCACTTCCTGTCAGCACAAGAGGTGAACACACACACACACACACACTGGTCAAACAGTATTCACATGTGCGTTCATGCATTTGGCAGACGCTTTTATCCATAAGTGACTTGCATTGCATTTCAGCAAAAAGATTTAGAACCCTGATGGACAAGGTTGTGTAAACGGTTAGTGTTGCGATCACTCAGTATCACTAAATGTGCTTTAAACTGTCCCTGATGGCGCGAGGTTCGCCTGTGACTCAGAACAAGTGATCAGTCACATCAGGATTGAAAGCCTTTCATACGAATACTACGATAAAATTACAATAAAACATAATTAATAGTTAGCATATTTATTTGTTTTATTATATCTGTCAAGCCTTTTGTCATGAAAATGAGAAAGCTGTTTAGAGTGTGTAGATATATTTATGTAGTAATAGCTACCACACATGCATTATGCATTAGAATTTATGATTATAATTAGTAATTACACTTTTTTTTTATTAATATTTTACCAGATGTAGCAGTAACACATACATACACGCATATATGTATAAAATATTTTATGTATTAACTAGAGGTGTGTGAGATATATCATCTGCGATTAATATCGTAATTGTTGTTTTAACGATGTGCAATTTGACATTATCGAGTATTTTGCAAAAACCACGTACAGAGTGCACACATATATTACATTTATATAATTTAATATAATTAATCAATATCAAGAGTGCCGTTTTCTTCTCCAAAAGTTACCATGATTATAAATGTTAAATATTGTAAATATAAAAATATTGATTTAATAAGTTAATTAAGAGACTTACTTTTTAGACACCATATTGACGGTTTTTGCGCAAAAATAATTCCAAACACAGCCACAGCACTGTTTTGCGTCTCTGAGCAACATGACGGTGATTCGTTCCTGAATGAATCAACTGTTTAAATGATTCGGTTCATTCGCAATGAATCACTTATTAACAGTGACTTGCTGCCACCTGCTGGCGGTTTTAGTTTCGCATTTAAAGATTTTTATTATTTAAATAATTTCAAATAACAGTTTTCAACGTTTAATGTATCAAAACATTATTTATGCATTTGTAACCGCAGGTTAATGCAGGTTCTACTCACGCTGGAAGGAGTGGGAATCGTGGTATTCTCAGAGTTTTGGGCTTCATTTCTCTCTGAGAGAAGAACAGTGGCAGGAGGACTGGGCCTTCATCCTCAGCCTTGCCAGTCAGGTACACACACACACACACACGAATACACAAACACACACACATTCACACAAACACACACACGCATTCAAACACACACACACACACACATTCACACAAACACACACACGCATTCAAACACACACACACACACACATTCACACAAACACACACACGCATTCAAACACACACACACACACACATTCACACAAACACACACACGCATTCAAACACACACACACACACACATTCACACAAACACACACACGCATTCAAACACACACACACACACACATTCACACAAACACACACACGCATTCAAACACTCAAACTCGCACACAGTCTCAGTGCAAAAACCTAAATTAGGCTTTATTTTCATTATGTTGTATTGATTTTTTCTTTATGCAGAATTTAAGTTCTTATTTTTTCATTTATTTTTTATACAGAATTTAAGTTTTTATTTTTTTATTTATGCAGTATTTAAGTTCTTATATTTACATTTCTTTATTCAGAATTTGCATTGAACTGTCAGCATCGTAACTTTGCAGATATTGTTTATGCTCAACATTACACACTAACTAAAGTTAAAAAAGTGAAATCACAATCAACCACCCCTTTAAGTTCTTGTTTTTTAATTTCTATTTTATTTTTCTACAGAGAATTTAAGTTGTTTATTTTTTTCATTTCTTTATGCAGAATTTAAGCTACTTTTGTGTAGAATTTGAGTCCATTTTTTTTCTTTTAAGCAGTTCTTGTTTTTACTTTACTTTTGGGTGAAATCTGACCCGCTCATGTTCTTGTTCTGGTTTTATGAGACTCTGTTTTGATGTGATTCATAGAGGTTTCTCTCTGATCTCAAACTGGAAATAGCTTCAGAATTGTGTTTTGAATCGGAATCAAACACACACTGCACTGGCTGTTATTACAGTAATGAAGCAGTCGTTGAATCATGTAGTCGATGCTTTGAATGTTCTTTGTCAATCTTCCTGTTTTCTGTCACTGCAGCCCGGGGCGAGTTTGGAGCAGACTCATATATTTGTTCTTGCTCATATCCTGCGGCGGCCCATCATCGTTTACGGAGTGAAGTATTACAAGAGTTTTCGTGGGGAAACTTTAGGCTACACTCGATTTCAAGGTGAGGCGATCACAAGAGCTCTTTATTGTCACATGGACAGCAGGAGTGTGGCTCACCTGTGTGTGTGTGTGTGTGTGTGCAGGTGTTTACCTGCCGTTGCTATGGGAACAGAGCTTCTGCTGGAAAAGTCCCATCGCTCTCGGTTACACGAGAGGTCACTTCTCTGCTCTGGTTGGCATGGAAACCGACGGCTACGATAATCGCGGCGCAGGTGCCAACCTCAACACTGACGATGACATCACCGTGACCTTCCTGCCGCTGGTGGACAGTGAGAGGAAGCTACTGCAGATCCACTTCCTGTCAGCACAAGAGGTGAACACACACACACACACACACTGGTCAAACAGTATTCACATGTGCGTTCATGCATTTGGCAGACGCTTTTATCCATAAGTGACTTGCATTGCATTTCAGCAAAAAGATTTAGAACCCTGATGGACAAGGTTGTGTAAACGGTTAGTGTTGCGATCACTCAGTATCACTAAATGTGCTTTAAACTGTCCCTGATGGCGCGAGGTTCGCCTGTGACTCAGAACAAGTGATCAGTCACATCAGGATTGAAAGCCTTTCATACGAATACTACGATAAAATTACAATAAAACATAATTAATAGTTAGCATATTTATTTGTTTTATTATATCTGTCAAGCCTTTTGTCATGAAAATGAGAAAGCTGTTTAGAGTGTGTAGATATATTTATGTAGTAATAGCTACCACACATGCATTATGCATTAGAATTTATGATTATAATTAGTAATTACACTTTTTTTTTATTAATATTTTACCAGATGTAGCAGTAACACATACATACACGCATATATGTATAAAATATTTTATGTATTAACTAGAGGTGTGTGAGATATATCATCTGCGATTAATATCGTAATTGTTGTTTTAACGATGTGCAATTTGACATTATCGAGTATTTTGCAAAAACCACGTACAGAGTGCACACATATATTACATTTATATAATTTAATATAATTAATCAATATCAAGAGTGCCGTTTTCTTCTCCAAAAGTTACCATGATTATAAATGTTAAATATTGTAAATATAAAAATATTGATTTAATAAGTTAATTAAGAGACTTACTTTTTAGACACCATATTGACGGTTTTTGCGCAAAAATAATTCCAAACACAGCCACAGCACTGTTTTGCGTCTCTGAGCAACATGACGGTGATTCGTTCCTGAATGAATCAACTGTTTAAATGATTCGGTTCATTCGCAATGAATCACTTATTAACAGTGACTTGCTGCCACCTGCTGGCGGTTTTAGTTTCGCATTTAAAGATTTTTATTATTTAAATAATTTCAAATAACAGTTTTCAACGTTTAATGTATCAAAACATTATTTATGCATTTGTAACCGCAGGTTAAATGCATTCATGTTCTGCACTAAACAGTGTGTAAACACATCTAAATGCCTCTTCAGACGCAGCTTCTGTGTTTCCTCTGCATTGCAAAGATTTAGTCAATACTGATTTCATTTGCTTGCTAACAGCCCAAGTGTCTTATTCTAATTCACTGATTAAATGTAAGAATTTGACAAAAAAAAAAAAACACTTTTAGAAAAATGGCTTTATAAAGGTAAAAAAAAAAGGCCTATAAAAGGTAAAAATCAATTTAAACTTATTGGAAAAGATTAATTTATATCACTGCTGTGAACTGACCACACACAGAATATGAAATATATATCAGAAACTTTATGAGTCAGCTGTCCACAGCAGTCCTTAAGGTACCAGCACAATAACACACTCAGCAAAATATCGTCTAATTATCGTTATCGATAAAATCCCAGAAAATATCGAGATATTATTTTTTGTCAATATCACACACCCCTAGTATTAACCATATTTAAGCAGTGTGTAGTTAACAACTTAATGAGGGAGATACTCTAAACTGATCGAAATAAAAACTGGAAAGAAACCTGCTGGTATGGGATATTGGCAAAAAAGCTGCGGTATCGTTATTGTTATTGGACATGAAAAAGCAGTATGGAGCATCCCTCATTTCAGTTATACACAGTTTACTCCAGATTTGTCCATTTCACAGTAATCAAACCCATGATTTATGTAGTGACGTCAGCAACTCTGGGCATGTGGCTGAAAGCATGAATCTTACTGTTGTCCACCTGTGTTTGCAGCGATCAGGGCTTTAGACTGACGGCTGATGTGTGTCTCTGTGCGCGCGCGCGTGTGTGTGTGTCTGTGTGCGTGCGCGTGTGTGTGTATCCGTGTGTGTGTGTCTGTGCGTGTGTGTGTGTGTGTCTGTCTGTCTGTGTGTCTGTGTGAACATACATGTTGTTGGTTTAGATGATTTAACAAGTTTATACAAATCTTCCTCTCCTATAGTAGAGAATTAGTGTGTGAGTGTGAGAGTGAGTGTGAGTGTGTGACCAAATGTCTCCACAAGGATAGTAAAGCCTGAAATTTTTGGCATTGTGGTTCCGGCCTGCGGTCCCCACGAGGGAAAAAATGATTAAAAATAGTAAATGATTTTTATCTGAAAGTGTAAGAATGCAAACAGGTTTTCTGTAAGGGGTAGGTTTAGGGTTAGGGGACAGAAAATATCGTTTGGTCAGTATAAAAGTAATAGAAGTCTATGGAAAGTCCCCACAATTCACAGAAACAAACGTTTAAGTAGTGTGTGTGTGTGTTCAGATGGGCAGCGAGGAGCAGCAGGAGCGTCTGCTCAGGGATTGGCTGGACTGCTGCGTGACAGACGGCGGGATGCTAGCGGCGCTTCAGAAGAGCAGCAGACGCAGACATCACCCGCTCATCACGCAGATGCTGGAGAAGTGGCTGGATGGGTACCGGCAGATGCACCCGTGTCCCACGCTCTCCGACGGCGAGGATGAGGAGGACGACGAAGACGAGTGACCCCCTGAAACCATTTCAGCACTGTTCCACACACGCCCTCTTTCCCAGAATGCAATGCGACCACCCCCAACAACAGCGAGGGCTGAAAATCTTTGTTTAGTCGAATTAATTTTGTTTTTTTGAATTTCTCTCCAGCAAAACTGTACGTTTGTATCCACCGTATGTAATCGTGCTGCATGTGGCTCTTTAAACATGGAATGATGAGAATAAAAGTGTATTAAACGAGCACTTCCACAAAGCACATGTTCTTTAGAGGATTTGAATCTGATCGCAGGAATCAGAGTTTATGATTTAACTCGCACTAAACGATTCAGTATGAAGACGTGCACATTTCTCACCTGTGTTTGTGTTTCCTTCTGTTCTTTCTCTCGCTCTGTTGTTGATTTGATTGTATTTATTTATGTCTTTCCTCTCTCTCTCTCTCTCTGGATACCGAGCCTCGTGTTAACAGACAGCAGACTCGTACTGTGAGGAGAGTCATGAAGAGTTTACTGACATGTTGAACCTGTGATCCTGTACCTCATTTGTGATGTCAGGTGATTCTGAACAAGAGGAGAGTGAATCACACGGCTTGAACATTAAACTAGAAACACATCTGCTCTCTCATCTCCTGTCTGCCTCGTTTTTTCCTCTGCACCTGCCAAATAATTGCAGCAGAATTATTAGTCCACAGAAATAATACACATCTTACTTATGGATTCTTACAATGATGGGCCACTTCATATTTTGTAAGCAAGGAAAAAACAGTTTTTTGGTCTACTTTGCTTCAAGGTTTTCAAAAGTGTTTTTCCTCCTATCTATATTCTGAAGGGTTTTACTGAGGGATTTGTTCATTTTTATTATATTTTATTCCTAAAGATGTGTTTCTCGTCGATTTAGCATTAAATCTCACTTTAGACTGGAATTTTTTTATGATGTCATGTTTTCAAAACTTTCTCACAAACACAGATTTTCAATCATTCCCAAAACAGTATAACATTAAATCTACTATACATACACGTGTAATATATGTTTTATGATGATCCGTTCTGTTTAATAATGTCTCTCTCTCTCGAGTGAATATGCAGTAGCTACTGACTACTTCAGAAAGTACGTTTTTGTACTTAAATATGAAACTGAAGCACAGAATCTTTCAGGACATGACTGGAATAATGCTCACGTTTCGCTTTTATTGTGAATCTAACAGTACTTTGTGTGTTTACACGTGTTTGGCCAGCAGATGTCCTCAGATCCTTCAGAACAGTGAATCATTCAGTAAAGCATCGGTTCAGTTGATTCAAAGTGACTCCTGTGATCATCATGGAGAGCTACATGTACAGGAGAGGTCAAAGGTCACACGTTCTCTGATCGTGGACTTTATGACTCCTTCAGAATAATCCTCAAAAACAAGTGCAGCTGAATAAAAGTGTTTGTTAGAGACACATCACATACTAATAGATAAAATTAATTAGATATTATAGTTTAAATGAAGCCTTGTGCTTTGATCATTCTCTTTGCTTTAAGAAATTCATACCATAACAGTAGAATAACATTGATATAGAAATGACTGGTTTTACGGAAGCTGAACTCTAGCAGGACTGTGTGAAGTACACAGCAGGAGTCGCGCATGCGCAGCAGCACATGTGTCAGGCCGCGCATGCGCACTTCTCCAACACGTGTGCCGAACACAAAACTTCTACAAAAGAAAGTTTTTGAGAGTTTCTGGGCAGAACAGAACCGGTCCGCCTGCACAGTGCTGCGAGTAAGCGTCTTCGCTCGGGCTGTTTCGGGTCGCGTCAGGACGATGCCGCCGACGATTTATCAGAGTTCCGCCGCCGGTGAGTTCAGAGGATCGATCCGGATCGGTTCTGATGCAACAGCTGCTTTCATGAACTGAAGGACAGAACTCGTGTCTCTGATCAAAGCGCTGATTTATGCAAATTAGCGTTTATGTTTTTTTATTTTTGCATGTCAATATGTTTTATGAGTATTGTTAGACGTACTAGTCGTGGTAAGAAACGGATCGATCAGGAAGATATCGAGCAGTCTACAGCAGCGCCAGTCATCCCTCGCGCTGATCAGCTGTAATTAGTCCAGTCAGCTTGATTTCTGCAGCGCTTTATACAGTAACGTTACAGAGTGTGTCAAGCAGGAGAAACGTGTGCTGATAATGCAACAGCTCGATAGAAACAGTTTATCAGTTAAAGTCAGTGCATTGTTGATTCAGTGATGTACTGCCAGAAACCCGAGGTGTTCTCGATCAGGAGCGCGTCTGTGTCGTGTTGTGTTCAGATGATTTTCTGGTCAGTGTTATCGCGATGAACTAAAACTTACTGACTTCACACAGTGCAAACAACTTAACGTTACCTACCTTTTTTGGTTACACTTCACTTGAAGGGGTGTGCATAAGACTGACATTACACATGTCATGAATATGAAGGAGGTTTTATGCATGTTTATGACAACTGTCATTAAGTGTCATTCGCTCAGTTATGTCATTTTTAATGCATAGATGACATTGTTTGAGATGTCTTTGTTATGGGCTATGGTTAGGGGTAGGGTTAGGTCAAATAATGTCATATTTGCATTAAAAATGACATAACTGAGCGAATGACACTTAATGACAGTTGTCATAAACATGCATAAAACATATTCCATATTCATGACATGTGTCATGTCAGTCTTATGCACACCCCTTCAAGTGAAGTGTTACCCCTTTTTTTTTTTTTTGTGGATAATTTTCCCTCCTTGTTACACTTGTGGTGTTCCCCTTCAGAAATGACCGGCCAACACAAATTGTTTATAAATCTCTCATTATCACCAAATCCTGGATCCAGTCTTTTTATCAGCTTGTTTTCTTTCAGTTAGCACAGGTTTTGTATTTATTTTTGGAACTGATTGATTTTAGGCCTCATTGATCTGAGCTCATGCACCAGTTTTTGAGTGAACATTGCCAAAATTATTTTAAAAAAGAATGTTTTTTTTCACTCAATCTGAATGTGACACTATTTTCTTTAAAGTTGATTTACAGTTGAAATTTTACATGAACACTGTTATTTTCCCGTTTATTGCCATGGAGCAGTGTCTGTATTTTATTAAGTGCTTTATGTGTGTGTCTGTGTCTGTGTGTATATGTGTGTGTGTGTTTATATTTTGTGTGTCTGTGTGTGTGTCTGTGTATATGTGTGTTTATATTTTGTGTGTATATGTGTGTGTGTGTGTGTATATTTTGTGTGTGTGTGTGTGTGTGTGTATATGTGTGTGTGTTTATATTTTGTGTGTCTGTGTATATGTGTGTATATTTGTGTGTGTGTGTGTGTGTGTGTGTGTGTGTATATGTGTGTGTGTTTATATTTTGTGTGTCTGTGTATATGTGTGTATATATGTGTGTGTGTGTGTGTGTGTGTGTGTGTGTGTGTGTGTGTGTGTGTGTGTGTGTGTGTGTGTGTGTGTGTGTGTGTGTGTTGAGCAGGAAGAGCGCCGTCTCTCCGGGATGAGCTGACAGGGCTCCTGCAGCAGAGGATTCTGGTTCTGGACGGTGGAATGGGAACGATGATCCAGCAGAGGAACCTGGAGGAGGAGGATTTCAGAGGTCAAGAGTTCAAGGATCATCCCAAGAGTCTGAAGGGCAATAATGACGTCCTGAGCATCACCCAGCCGCACGTCGTCTACAGCATCCACAGGGTGTGTGTGATCCACAGTCCTCCGCATCGTCACACACACGGCTTCTGCGGGTCTCCAAAGTCTTAATCTTCCCTTCCACGAATGAAGGTCTTAAATCAGAGCAGAAAGCTTTTACAGATTAAGTCGTGGCATTAAATGTTGCAGCGCTGCACAACATGCATCTCTTCCTCAGTGTTAATCTTCCCTTCCACGAATGAAGGTCTTAAATCAGAGCAGAAAGCTTTTACAGATTAAGTCGTGGCATTAAATGTTGCAGCGCTGCACAACATGCATCTCTTCCTCAGTGTTTCTGTCTTGTTTTCCAGAACAAGTCTCTAAACATCCTTAAATCAAGACACATTTACTGGAGATGCACAATGAAGATATGAAGTCTTGTTTTCTGAGAAATTGAACAAAATGAAGTGAGTTTGTGAGTAGAACAAGAACGAATATCTGTCAAAATGGAATGAAAACTTGTTTTCTTTTTGAATTCAGTTGATTTTTCTGAACCCATTGACCGATGCTTGTTCTTGTTTTAATCATAAACCCACTTAATTTTGATCAGTTTCTCATTAAACAAGACTTTGATGTCATTTTGCCTCTCCAGTAACTGTATCTTGATTTAATAATCCTTAGACATTTGTGCTGGAAAACAAGACAGAAATATAGTGGAAGAACAGCACTTTTTTGCAGTGTGATCAGAAGGTACAGTAAGAGTAATTTCTATATTTTAGAGTTTTTTGAGCTTTTTTTGTGTGTGTGTAAAATGAATTAAAAAGTAATGGAGATCTTTTAAAGGTGTATTTTCAAACATTTAAGTGTTGCTAATACAAGACATTTTTACATTTAGAGACCATATTTTACCGTCCCATTCAATTTAATCCCTAGATTTTCTTTACTTGGTCTTTAAAAGGTTTGAGAAAGTCTTCATTTTACAGAAGCCCTGCACACAGAGCTAATTAGAATTTTGTTGTTTCTTGTCCTTAATTTAAATTTTTTAATGACATTACTTATTTGGTCTTTCTTTGATTACTCTGTATATTTTTGCATTCGTGTTAAATTGTATGTCTCTGTGTGTGTGTCTGTCTGTGTCTGTGTCTGTCTGTCTGTGTGTCTGTATGTATGTATGTGTCTGTCTGTCTGTCTGTCTGTCTGTCTGTGTCTGTCTGTCTGTGTATGTGTCTATGTGTCTGTGTGTATGTGTCTGTCTGTGTATGTGTCTGTATGTGTGTGCGTCTATGTGTCTGTCTGTCTGACTGTCTGTCTGTGTCTATCTGTGTGTGTGTGTGTGTGTGTGTGTGTCT